ATTCGTTGACTGCGCAACAACTGGCGACACACAAGGTGTAAGTGGTGACACTGATCAAAGACGATAATTTTCTATAAATGACAGGAGAGGGCGCTATTGGGGACACGGCAAGTCAAGTGCATGTTTCCTATCACCCAGAAGTAAAAGAATCAGAAACGCACAGCAATCAGCCAAAAAACGTAAGGTTCTGCAGGGCGAAATGCATGATTTACATATGACCCTGATGGTGGCCTTAAATCAGACACGTGGCTTAGGTAACCCGAATTAATATCCGCGGATCAGAGAGAAAGAGAGAAAAAGAGAGAGGGTAGAAAAGTGTTGTGTAAGAAAAAACGTTTAAGTTCTGCTATGGAAAACAGGACAATGCAGATAACGAAACATGTTAGATCTACTTTGCGACAGAAATCAGGTGAATTTGCCCTCAATGAAACAGGGAAGAGCCTCGAAGCATCATCCAGCTGTCTCAGATCTGTGTTTAACAGATTCTTTGAACATTTCAAATCCGACAAAAGAGCAAATAAAGGCTACTGTGATCTGGCGGGTTGACTAAGTGAAATTTTTCGGCAAACTGTTCTGGAGCACACGAAACCCGGGCGAGTTCAAGATCTCAGTCTACACCAAGCGGTGATTCTGTCGGATGGAACGGACATGGGCGCACTGCCCTTGGCGAAACTCAACCAGAATGGGTGCGAAATTGTAAACAATGACAGAACATTTTGACATTAGGAACAGTAACCGTGGCGCTAGGTCGACTTGTGGAGCTATAAGTTGACGGACACAAGTCTTCGACAACCGAAAAGCTTACCGTTTTAAGAATAAAGGCTTCTAAACAAAACCAAGGGGTCACATTCCGGCAGTGCGATTGGTAGTATTCTGTCGCCAGATGCGTTGAAATAAGAAAAAATTGTTGCGGATCTTTGAGACTTGGACAAATATAAACGCACTGCCGGAGAGAAAAGTTAGACTGAGAAAAAATGTTCGCACTGTTGACTTTGCTGGTGACTCACATGCGCTGAAAATTCGGCACGCAACATGGTTATCTTTAGTCACAAACAGAACAGCGGTCCGACTTCAAGTTGACACAGCGTCTGATCTATGATCATTACAGTGGGAACGAGGCTGACGATAAGATCATCAAAACTCACACCAGACCGCATTGCTTTACAAACGGCAAATAATGCAGCAATGAAATCCGAGAGAACTTCTCTGGCGTACAGCAACAGACCCTTTTATATCGAAAAACCGCATTGATCTTCTTCGAGGGGGGTTCACGGTGTCAGCCGCTCGACCACGTTTTCGAAGCATCCCCAAGTATGAAAAAGGATTTGAAGCCAACATTTGTGTGTTTTAGAGTTGCGAAAATTCCTGTGACAGTACTCAGAAGACCAGTTGCATGCTTGATGAAAACGCCATTTGGGAAATATGCTAAAATAAAAGTCTCCCCACGCGTTAGGTTTGGAGGAAAACTCGTTTTCAGGAAATACCAGGTATTTTGGTCGGAAGCTCGGTGGTTTGAACGTTAGCATAAAAATGAGACAACCTACCACACCAATCGCGTTGTTGAGGCGGTTAGTGATTTTTAAGCTACCCGATAGTGCTACCGTAACGTAATTAACATAAGGGCTCACTTTGGTCCTTTGATTTACAGGCGTCGGTTGTCCTCTATAGGTACGGTCTTGGAACCCCCCCCCCCCCGCTTTATCTCTGCACACAATTTTGAAGCCCATTTTAAGTCAGGGTTAAGAACACCTTGGAATAGTCACCAACTTGGAATTTGGTTCAAGGTCACCTGTAATACGGAATGGCTATTTTCGTGTCCTAAACCAAAGAATGTTTTGAGTAGATCAGTAGCGCGTAAGCGGCACAAGAGCTAATGGCGTTTGAAGGGCGATGGCTGGATTGCCGTTTGGGTAAGAAGGGGATATTTAACCCCACTTGATGGAAACAATACTGTTGGGGTTGGGGTAAGGGGTTAGGGTTAGTTTAGGGTTAGAGGTTGTGGTTAAGAGTTATGGTTAACGGTTAAGGACTAGGGTTGGGGGCTAGGGATAAGGGAAACTATTTCTCAACCACGCAGAGTATAATCGCGCATTCGCAATAGCTTTTCTTTTGTAAGTAACTACGTGACCCCTCCGCCTGTGCGTTCGCCGGCCCCAACTGTAAAAACCCCTATTACCACCGATCTCGTATTACAGGTGGCTAGGGTGTGTTTATTTCAGATGCGGCTATATAACCATATCTGATTGTCATTTGCTTTCGCCATGGCCGATAGGTGCCCAGAGAACCTGGTGACACGTGATCTACTTTCAACTGTCAAGGCAGCGATTGCGGCATACAGCTCTTACCAGACTGCTTCACCAAATCTGGATTATGTACTTCAAGGCGACTCACTCTGAAACCCGACATTTCGACCATAGCAACCGACAATGTCTACCCTTGGTCTCCACTGCGGGGTGAAGCAGGCACGATTTACCA